TAAGGGGGGAATAAGAACAGTTACATATAGACAATGCCCATTTCAAAACTTTCGCCCACTTATGTATAAATACAATGCAGTACTGTTTTTTGCTTTTAATTATGGGGCCAAATATATATATATATATCTTTTTAATTGTATTTTAATGTTTGTAGTTTATGTTTTTACTTTGGCTGTACACCGCCCTGAGTCCTCAGGGAGAACGGTATATAAATTTGATAAAAAATAAAAAAATAAATAAAATCCATGTGTATTGACGTTTCCAACATACAAAGAAAAACATTTGATATAAAAATATCTTTTTGAGGCTATTAACTCCAGCAAACCACAACTTTCTGAATCTTCCCTTTCTTCGGGGCTTTTATAATGTGATTCTCATTCATTCATTCATTCTATAAAACCAAGTCACATCAATATACATTTTTTTGTGCTGGTTATTTAGTTTTATATATAAACCACATTCATAATCATTCATTCATTCTTGACCCTGTCCCTTCTCCCATTTTCACTTTTTTTCCAAAATCCATGCTTGACCCACCATAACCAACAACAGCAAGGTCACATTTCAAGACCTTTAATCATCCTTGTATGTTATATTTCTGGAATGATTTGTAATATTATGCTCATATCTGGGATTTTCCTCATACACATCTTTATTCCCTTCATCTTTCCACTAAGTGTCTTTTTCATACTTTTTGTTAGCCTAACTCTACACATTTCTTTGGTGTTCTGTAACATCATTTTTGTTTTAGGTTTTTTTTTTTTTAAGTAGCTTCCACATTTTGTTTAAACCATATATTCAAAGCAGAAATTCTCCTAAGTAGTTACTCATTACTCATTTCACATTTTTCATTCCTAGTCATTCTTCTTGCATCTTCAAATGGGCCAATCACTTTTCTTTATTTTCATTTTGCTCCTTATATTTTCACTTGCGTGAATGATTTATTAACCTTCGTTTAATTTTTTTAAATCCTCTTTTCTCTTAATTTCATAGAAACACCACCAAGCTAGTCTATTTTTTTTTGCCTTTCATTTGTTAACATATGCTCTTTACTATTAACTCCTCCTACATTCTATATCTACATATTATATGGCTATCCCCAAATGACCTATAGATATTAATTCCACCCATCTACTCATCATGACTTTGGTCAATTAGGAAAAGATAAAGTCTGGATTAGGTTACCAGCTTTAGTTCTACCTTCCCACCTCCAGCATTCCCTGCTAACAAGAAAGGTAGAATTGGTCAATTAGGCTTCTCTTGGCTAACATCCCACAAAGGTAACCAAAGTCCAATTTTATTCCAAGCGTGGTTGCTCTAAAGCACCAGAAGGCAAGGCAAGAAACAATGGATGGAAACTAAACAAGGAGAGAAGCAACCTGGTATTAAGGAGAACCTTTCTAACAGTGAGAACAATTAACCAGTGGAACAGCTTGCCTTCAGAAGTTGTAGGTGCTTCATCAGTGGAGGCTTTTAAGAAGAGACTGGATAGCCACTTGTCTGAAATGGTATAGGGTCTCTTGCTTGAGCAAGGGGTTGAACTAAAAGATCTCCAAGGTCAATTCCAAATCTGTTATTCTGTTCTGTTAGGCAAGCTATGAAGTTTAAGCTAAAGCACACAGCATTCTCTTAACATACTCTTTTTTGCCCAGAGTCACAAATAGCAAATATTTGAAAAAGCTGTCCCAAGGCCCAGCACAGGATAGTGCTGGAATTGTCAAAGAGGTTAGAAAGTCATGTGGCGAATTTCAGGGGATGGTTGCAGCCATTAATTCATTTATTTAAACTATTTATATATCCCTCTGCATTAAAATATAACACAACAAAATAATAAGGCAACAACAAAGAAAAAATGCACTGTATAAAAGTAGAATTTATATTCATTTGCCACAATTCTCTATTCCATACAATAAATCAAGAATCCTTTCTTCTTTGTTCACTTTATGATCTTCTCATAAAAAAAACTTAAAAGGAAAGAAAAATAACCAAAATGGTTATATAGTTATATTAGGCTCCACAGCAGAAAAGGGCAGTTTGTTTTCTCCATTAAGAAAACAAATCTCTTGTTCTTAGTGAAGAACTTATTGCAGTGAGCAGTGGAACAATTGACATCTGAAATAATATTAGATTTTTATGTGAGTTCAGACCTGGAAAATATTTAAATGGCATTTGAAATATGAATTTCAGGGAGATGCGTTGGTCTGTTTGGAAGACTCAGCTCATGATGAACTTTAAGATAATTGTAATAAAGCTTTCCAGAGGCTATTTCGATGTCAGGTTTCTCTTTTACCATAAACAGACGTTTGAATGATTAATGAAGAAAGTGACTGAGGTTTATGTCAGCGTTTCAAGGCATTTGTGTCAGACAAGAGCCATCCTTGGCTTTACCCCCTTAGGAGATGCAGCTATGTATAGATCTGGTTCATTTTGAACAATTTGCCCCCTGGTTAGAAATCTCTTTAGCAATAATGACCCACACTACACAAAAGGCTTAAAAATATTTCCTCCCCTAAAAGACCATATTACTTCCACTGGTCTGAAGTTTCCGAAGACCAGAAGGGGAAAAACTAGCATTCCAAGCACAATCTTAGTATACTCCATTTTGAATGAAGTACACTAAGCTCTCTTGATTTTTCTGAGATAATTTTGGGGAACCAGGAAATCGGCAATATACAGGTAATCCTCAACTTACAACAGTTCATTTAGTGACAGCTCAAAGTTACCATGGCACTGAAAAATGTGACATATGACCATTTTTCATAGTTACGACTTTTACAGCATCCTGATCATTATGTGATCAAAATTCAGATGCTTGGTAATTGGTCCATATTTATGATCTTGCTGTGTCCCAAGATCATGCAATCCCTTTTGTGACCTTCTGACAAGCAAACTCAATGGGGAAGCCAGATTCACTTAATAACTAGGTTACTGCAGTGATTCACTTAACAACTGTGGCAAGAAAAGTCATAAAATGGGGCAAAATTCAAATGTCTCATTTAATGACAGAAAATTTGGGCTCAGTTGTGGTCGTAAATCGAGGACTACCTGTAGCAATAATTATGTACATGAATTAGATTTTGCATTACAGATTGGCCAAGTCATAGTCACTCTTTTTGGTTGATGAGGGGTGTATGCCTTGCCTCAAATTATTCTTGAGTCAGTGTATAAGTAGCAGGTAATAATGGAACATGCAGCTAGGGACCTATATTCCTTTGACTGATCAATGACATCAGATTATTTATTTTTCTTCTTCTTTAATCCTACAGCAAGGTGTTTTTTCTGATAAAAAAAAAAACAGACTTCAGTTTGTATGGCCTTTCTTTTGTTTTCTATAACGTGACTAATGGAATTCTCAGGGTTAGTCCTAACATACCAAAAGGACAACATAATGGGAAATGCAGATCTAGATACAGCACTTCCTAAAGTTGCCAAAGGATTATTTCCTATTATCTAATATCTGCACAGCTTGTTTCTTTCTGCTTTGGATTGTGGCAGAGTAAGTCAGGATTATCCATAATGAACATATCTGGGTCTAAACCTCTTGGTTATGGAGAAGACTGTTGGCAATAATCTTTTCTCTAGTTCTGTAACTCTACACAAAGAAGATTATGAAATAAGATTTTCTTTTCATTTGATAATGTTGTGGTTACCTGATAGTTTTATACAGCTTTTGTAGTAATAAACCATTGGCAAATTCCTTACAGTTCCTTGAGCTTCCCACTAACCTACACACTTCAGTGTCCTCTGGAAAGAGTGGTTTGTCCAACTCTTTAGGTTGGGAAATGGCACAATGTGATGGACTACAGTAATGCAGCAGGTTCCTGAGAAGGAGGGGACATATTCCAAAAAGAGGGGCAATACACGATAACAACACAGTCCAGAGCTGGATCAAAAGCAGAATAAGACATTTTGGATAGGCACTACCTAGAATCTCCCAGGGCAGGGGTGGCCCAGGGCAGGGGTGGCCCTTTTACAACCTGTGGACTTCAACTCCACAGCTTGGCTGTCTCAGGAATTCTGGGAGTTGAAGTCCACAGGTTGTAAAAGGGCACATTTGCCCACCCCTGTCCCAGGGTATATTCAATAGGTCAGTCTAGTACAGGTAGTCAGATTTAACAGATTAACAGAGTTGGAAGGGACCTTGCAGGTCATCTAGTCCAACCCCCTGCCCAAGCAGGAGACCCTACATCTGCCTCTACCTAGGATCGAACTCACAACCTCCTGATTGTGAGGCAAGAGCTCCACCTGTAGACCACAGCAGCTAGTCCTTGACTTATGACCTTAATTGAGCCCAAATTTCTGTGGCTAAGTGAAACATTTGTTAAATTTGTTCTGGCCCATTTTATTACCTTTCTTGCCACCTTTGTTAAGTGAATCGTTGCAGCTATTAAATTAGTAATAAGGTTATTAAGTGAATCTGGCTTCCCCATTGCCTTTGCTTCACAGAAGGTCGCAAAAGCTAATGATATGACCCCAAGACAGACAGTGCAATCGTCATGAATATGAGTCAGTTGCCAAGTGTCTGAATTTTGATCACATGACCATGGGGGTGCTGCAATGGTCATAAGTGTGAAAAAAGGTCATAAGTCACTTTTTTCAGTGCTGTTGTAACTTCAAACAATCATTAAATGGACTGTTGTAAATTGAGGACTACCTGTATAGGTTTAATCTGGCAAGATTCTATATGGTGTAAGTAAATAAAGAATTGAACTTTGGATTGTCTTGTTACATCGTTCTTGGGCTAGGCCTGATATCTGCACTGAATGTTCTGTATCTGTTAAGGTTAATTTTTAATTAATAAGATTAAACTGAAAGATTTAACCCATGCAGAGAGCTTCATGGCCAAATCAGGATCTGAACCTAGCTTTCATTATTTCTATACCATGACTCTAACTATTGCATTACATTGGTACTGTGTTCATGTAGTGTTATCACATTAAGGCATAAAGGATAATGGTTAAAATGCTGGACTAGGAATCATGAGACAGACTAAAGGAAAAATGGTTCAGAGATGATGTTGATATACATGTAGCAGATTTAAGTATAATAAACTAATGAATTATATGATATGGAAATCACGGTAGTAAGATTTTGACTTCATCTGGGTAACTGCTTGGCATCTCTTCCAATTCTGGAATTTTTAACAGCATATTGGAAACTTGAAGAGAAGATTAATCCTAGGGAGAAAGATAATGACAAACATATGATGAAAATAAGGATATTTCTATGTCAATAAATATTGGGATAGTTAAATGCAATTGTTTTCTGGTGATAATGTAAGTCTTGATAATGTAAGGGACATAAAGAAGAAAGACATCTTTGAATTAAGGATTTTGATTTAAAAAAAATTAAGCAGAACCAATCAATCAATCATTCTTGGGTAAAGAGTCTTCGGAGAGGGGCGGCATACAAATTGAATTAATAAATAAAAAAAATAAAGACCAAGTGTTTCTTTGAGGCAATGATTGAATAGCAGAAACTAAATACTTTGGGCATCTGATACAGATGGATATTGTTCTAGGAAAATAACTATGCTTGGCAAGGCTCAGAGAAGTAGAAAAATGGGAAGGCAATGGACAAGGTAAGCGGACAGGATCAGAAATATCACTGCAGTGTTCCTGGAACTATGGATTGTAAAATAAAAGGCATTTGTTTATATAGATATCATGTTGCAATATTTTCAGGATCAGACTCAATAAAAATAATAGGAGTTAGAGCTTTAAATATATTTCTTTTTAATTATGATAGGCATTCTATATTCACTGAATATTCAAGGTAGAAGCAGCAAGAATGGTGAGGGTGGCTCCTTATATATACAAGGGGTGGAGCTAGGAATGGGAGTGGTAAGTTATGAATACATTAAAGTCCAAAGAATAAGTTAACCTCTGATGTTCCATATATACATTATTTACACATTGGAGAATAAGGCATTTACATCTGACATATCAGGAGAGGGCCAGGTGGATGGCACCCAACTATTTATTATTGGCTGTGTACATTTCTGTATACTAATTCTTAGAAACATAGAACTGGAAAGAGTAGTTTAGACCATTAGTTGCATTATCCTGCTCAGAGCAAAGTCTAAATTAAAGTATGTTGTCAACAGGTTGTTGAATCTCTGCTTGTAACTATCTGCCAATCGAAACTCTAAATCTCTTTAGATCTTTGACTCCATTCTCCAAATATTCTTACTATTTTGAAATTTTCCTAACACCAGTGAAAATTGCTTTCCTAGAACTTGAGACAATTGTTCCACACTTTGCATTCTGTTATGATAGAGGACATTTCTGTTTTTAGTATGACAACTGTGAGATACAGTACTTAGATAGATAGCTAGATAATAGGTAGGTAGGTAGGTAGGTAGGTAGGTAGGTAGATAGGTAGATAGATAGATAGATAGATAGATAGATAGATAGATAGATAGATAGATAGATAGATACTATTTTAATCATTCCTGGATGAAATAAAGATGGTGTTTTCCCTTGAGGCAATGATTAGATGGCAGAAACTAACATAGATATTTTACCCCATCCTATCTTTTAAAGACTAAACATATCTACTTATTTCAATTTCTGTTGATAGTCTTCATTTCCAATCTCCTGATGATCCTTGCTGGACCTATTTCAACTGAATCATTTTAAGATGTTACTAGGCAAGTACTGGTACATTCTGACTAGCAGAGAATAGCATGAAACATTTATTTCATATGATATGGAAAAATAGATATTAACTGCTGCAGAGTAAAATTGTATTTGTATTGTTTTGCAGTTTGCTAAACTGCAAAACAATGAGAAATTACTTGGGAAATTGAAATGAACTCTTGTTGGGAATTGTAGAAAAAGTTCATGCACAAACATCTTGCATTCAGTTTTTACTGAGTAACAGACAATTAATAGCACAAAGAAAATACAAGCACCAGGCCAATATTTACATTGTTCTGGTATATTTATCATCTTCTCTCTCTCTTTTTAATATTTACCTTAACAATGTGGTTGCAGGTGGAGATTTTTTTTTCCTTGTCAGCATTACAGGTGACTCCCTCGGTTTCTTATTTGCTGCCAGGAACATAACCACACCTGTTTGGCAGTGAATAGGGAGCCTGTTACATCCTGAAGGCACAAAGTGGATCAAGTGCACAATGATGATTTGAGTAAATAAAATTTAAAAGGGAACATTTTAAACAAACGTGACAGACTTTATGTTTTCTGTACTCAGGAAAAAGGCTTGATGCGATCCCAAACAACTCCCTTCTTCCTCCCTGCCCCTTCTGCAGTATTTTCCCTGTTGGAACAGGTCATATCATCTTCTGAAAAATTATCAATTATTTAATACTCAGTTCTAAATATCATTGGTTTATATTGCTAATATGACTTTCACATGGCCTAATTTATGGTATCCATTCTTTCTTTTTATTCTTTTTTTTCTTTCCTAATTTCCTAATTTTATTTGGAATTGTAAAGAGGCTGAATTTTCACAGCACGATAAACAAATTTTTAACCATCCTTTATTGAATACACAACTGGATAGTTTTAATACAATACATTAAACCTTAGAAATCATGATGACTGTAGTTAGTAAGCCAAAAACCAAACAAACTACATTGTGGTTTAATGTGTCCTATGAATCAGACCAGATTAAGAGCAAGAAATGGAGAAACAATTTAGATGTGTACTACATACTTAGCCATGGTTAAATTAACTGTGGTTTATACAGCCCAGGTTTCCAGGTTTCCCATGAGAAACACTGAACCATGAAGTAAACCACATTAGCAGCAATTGCATCATCCATTTAGTTAATGGAGCCTAAGTAGTTCGTAGTTTAGCATGTGTAAGAACATAGTAAAATATTAAATGTGAAACCTGTTAGGAAGATTAAGCTTAATTAAACCAGGTTAAGCAAATCCAGCCAGCTACAATTTGACTTAAATATTTGTATGACTCCATTCCAGTGAGGTACAAAAAGGGGACACTGAGACCAGTCTTAATGTAAACTGTTGAGGGGATTCCAACATTTACAAAGAATGCTAACCATACACTGGAACAAAGGATTTAATATATGAGGTTTCACAGTATTAACACATTCAATGGATTGCTGTATCTCACTGGAACTCCAGAGAAACCTATAATCTCAAAGGATTCTTGGCAGAGACCATAAATAACTGTCTGTTCCTCACTCCAGGCCGACAAGAAAAACAAGTCTCCAGAGCTTTAGGAAGAAGAAAGATTACCATCTGAATCCATTTCTTGGCTACTGAAACCAAGTCACACTTATTAGCGAGCCCTTTGTCATGCATTAAGAAGTATTTCTGCACATTCTAGAATTTTATTTGTTATTGTCATCTCTGGAGGGGTTTGTTTGTCTTTCCAGTATTTTGCGAAGGTTAGTCTGGCAAATGCACATACCGCAAAATACATGCATTAAGAAGTATTACCTGCTAGCATAAACAATGTGATAGAAACTGTAGGATAAAGATTTACTGGAAGAAAGGAATCCTTCTGGCCAACCTACAATCCATTAGAGTTCGAAGAAGGAAGATCTAATCCTATCTAATGTACCAAAGGGGGGAAATCCAGATAGATTCAATCTCAGCATTTCCTAACATGCCTTTACTTTTGCTTCTATGAACAGAGTGTTCTTTAATGTTGACGGCTGGATTTGTAACACATATACAAGCCTTAAGGGAGAACGGCCATCTAAAGTTTTTGCCATCCAGGGTGGTGCTTGGGACTGCCGTGGGAATGGACCCTGGTAGTATCAGGCATGTCCTGACGCCAAGTTTGATGCAAAACATATCTATTCTCTTGAAGGGTACAGCTTTAAACAGAAGATAACCAAAATGGGGAAAAATATTTCTTCTTGTTTTTCTGGCAACTAGCCTGAAACAAGAATAAAATAAAATGTCTTCTAGGTCAGTTTTGTTTTCCTCTCTGGTCACTTGGCAATCTAAGCTGGAAGAATACCAAGATCCAGCTAGAGGAATTAAACCCGCATTTGCTCACTGCAGTAATCCCCTTAAAATCTAGCTTTATTCTGGGCATATACAGAAGATTTTTTTTCTCCTTTTCATAATCCAGTATAGTTGGAACAGGATTCAACTAGAGATATAAACACTACCATGTTATTTGTGTTTCATTGTATATCTCCCTCTGTATGACTTAATGTTACTTGGCTATTCCTGAACCTGCCAATGCACATTTAATGTATTTTTATAAAATGGTTATATTCTTCATACTGCAATGTCTAATCAGAAACCCAAAGATGAAAGTAAAAAGGCTGGTTTTTTAAAAAATCTTAAAAAGTATTATTTTATTAATAATTCTGTCCTACGCCATGATTATCTGGGAGCACATTATTGAGATTTCTATCTGTGGTTATGTCTCCAATTATTCCTCAAATTTCTGGTAGATCCAGGCTGCATCCAGATTCAGCACTGATCTTCTCAATGCTGCACAACACAGATTTTGTGCATGTGTGCATGTGTGTCTGTTTACAGTAACATTGTTGGAGTGGAATGGCTATTTGATTACCATTACTGAACATCTGCACACACCAGCATGCTTTTTTTCCACCAGTTGCTGATACAGAGAATGGAACTGCTGTGTCAACATTTTCACATTCAAAGTCCCCCTTTTTTCTGTTCATGGCCTGCTACTATATGGAACAGAACTGTACCTTTAAATTAGTTGAACAAAAATACAAGAAAACATGAGAAAATTGTAAAACAATGTACTGGGTCACTCTAATCAATTTAGATATATTTTCTATTTCCTAGGGAAATAGGAATATTTTTCCTATTGCAATGTTTTTTTTTTTAAAGGAAAGAGAAAAAAGTAAACCCAGGTGCCTGTAAAATGTACTCAGTTTTAAAAGTATTTCCAGAGATTTGCTTTGGCATTTGATTCAGATTTTTTTTTTTTTTGAAGGAAGTGAGTCAATTTCTTTCCTAGTCTGCTCTACTTTATTTGACATTGCAACTAAGCTGGTGTTTTCTTTTGAATCACTGCACTTCTATACACCCTCATTTTCACACTGGCCACAATGATATACAAATGACCGCATGCTATTAGTGACATCATGACATAGTTCTGTCCTTACTTACTTGAATCCCAACATCTGATGCAAGTTCTAAGTAGGCGTCTTTGCATCATGACACATGTTTTATTGCTTGCCAACTTTCCTCACTGCAAATGCCTAAGTATTTCATCTTATTTCCTAAACTCAAACCCGTCATCACTCCCTCCCTGACTCCAAAATTAAATTTCGATAGGAGAAGTCTCTGTTGATGATTTCTTGAGATGTAAAATTGTTTAATTCATAATTCCATTGAAATATTTGTTTTATATTCCTATCAGTAAAAATGTAATCCTAATATTCAAATCCTATTTCAGCCTGTTCTCCAAATGAAGTAAAAAATCTCCAGTGGTTGGATTGCCTCATTACCCTTAATAATATCTCTTCTTTTCTGATATTCCTGGAAGGCTATTCTTTATACAATAGAACTAGATTTGAAAAGGACTGTTCTGAATGGTGATACAAGATATGTAACAAACAGAAACAAGACACAACATGTAAAATCAAATCAGAGAGGCCTCCAAGAAACCTCTCAAATTGTCGTTGAGTGAGAATGTCATGTTACTCCAGAACTCGGTTTTACTGTCATCTGTTTTCATGCCACATAACATCATATTAACTAGTTCTTATTATGCATTTGTTCTTGGCCTCATTAACATGCATTCGGCATGTCAAGATGACATATTTGTTGCACCGATAACTGCAGAACATTCAAGGACCTGGAACATTATTATTAATTCTTATATTAAATTTTTGTGTGGGGGGAAATAATTACTATATCCCACTCTATTTACTGTGGAACAGCCTCCTGCTGTTGCATTTATTACTTGATGAACAAGCAGAATGAAAAATACCCTGATTTATCTTCCCAGACTTTACCTCTTTTAGTTATTTAGGTTGGCTCTGACGAAGACATAGACCTTGAATATGTTATAGTTATATAACATAAAAACATAACGTAACGTAACATAACATACCATAACATAACAACATGACTAAACATAACACAACATAACATAACACAACGTATAATTATTTAGTTATAGACTTCTATTTGATCAGTCAGATAGTAACCAAGGGCTTGCAGTGCAGAACAAGGTTTTGCTTTCCTTAAAAGGTGATTAGAGGCTTATAATATTTATCTAATATAGTTTATTATGTGCATGTGCCTATAGGTTGAGCATAAAATGGAAATTCACAGCAGTAATGTTCCAGTAGATTTCTCTCTCAAATTTCTACGGGAAATCTTAATGACCTAGAATTTCTTTCCCAAAGCTAACACATATATTTGTACTGTACACATATATAGTACAGGTCCTGCTGCCCACAAGATGGATAAATCCATTTCTACAGCTTAATCAGCAAGGAATGGGGATTCCTTGATGATTTATGAACCATCCTAGCATTCTTAAACCATCCTAGCTCCTACTAAAATATTTTATCTAAACATTGCCATCAATCAAGTGGTAATTTTACATATCATCTTTTACATGATATTCCATAATGGAATACACACTGACAGCTCTATTGAAAGGCTGTATTTGCATGATTGCTTTAAATTCAACTATAAACCTCATTTAACATGTACTACAACATCCTCACTAACGTCTGTTAGTATCATCTACCTACAGGTAGTCCTTGCCTTATGACCATGATTGGGACTGAAATCATAAGTCATTGAGGTCATAAGTTGAGGTACCCATGTGACCTAGTGTGGATAACGTATGTGGACTTGGGATGGAATATGATGATCTAAGATGGTCCATGATTTACATTTGGCTGAACAACAAAGGCTGAAATCTCAGTTAAAGTTCTACTATGTTCAATAGAATTCATATTCTAGTAACGGTAGAGTTGCCACTTTAGGGAAGTTTTTGCGGTGACATTAACATTACATTAGTAGCAGCTGTGGAGGCGCAGTGGTTAGAATGCAGTACTGCAGGTTAACTCTGCCCACAGACAACAGTTTGAATCTGACGGGCTCAAGGTTGACTCAGCCTTCTATCCTTCTGAGATCTATAAAAT